TCTCTCTCTCTCTCGTTGAGCCCAAAATCAAGTACACTAGTAGGTTTTTATTCAGCAAAAATTTATTCAGCAAATATTTAGGGGTTTAGGTTCTTGTATGATCAAATATTGGGGATTTTAGGTTTAAATTCTTATGGATTTAAATGTGCTAGTTTTTTGGTGTTCCTTGTTCATTTTGTATTGCTCTTATTTCCATTTATTCGATTGGGAAGCCCAAAATCAGGTGCACCAGGATCAAAAATTGTGGATTTAGTTTCAATTTTCATGGATTTTTTTTTTTTTCTTTCTCTTGTACATTTTGTATGCTCTGAATTCGATTTGTATGATTTTTATTGCTCTAATTTGGTTTTTGTATTTTGTATGGTTTTGTATGTTCTGATGTTTCTTCACGGATTCTTCAGTGATTCCTAATGGAAATCATATGTTGTTTCTAGTGGCTAAGGTTCCCACAATATCCTTACGTATGGAAAAGATTAATTACCTAATCGTGCAAATGACATTTTCTAATGTGCAATCATTTCCACAGAAGTGCAGAACACCATGTGTTCTCTTGAGTTCTATGATTTAAGCACGTACAGCAGTGTTATTCATTTTCAAGCCATAAATAGGAATGTTTGTTGTGCCATATTCATTTCTATGAGCTAGTTTGATTTGTTTCAGTTATTTTTCTCAAATATTGATACTTCTTGATATGATACAAGTACCTCAGTACTATTTACTGTGTGCATTATTCTCTAGGTTTTTGTATGATCAAATATTCGGGATTTCAGGTTTAAATTCTTATGGATTTAAATGTGCTGGTTTTTGGTGTTCCATGTACATTTTGTATACTCTGATTTCGATTGTACATTTTGTATGCTCTGAATTAGATTTGTTCAGCAAATATTTGGGGTTTAGGTTTTTGTATGATTTTTATTTCTCTGATTTCCATTAATTCAATTGGGAAGCCCAAAATCAAGTACACTAGTACCAAAGATTGCGGATTTAGGTTTCAATTCTCATGGATTTATTTTTTTTTTAGGTTTTTATTTAGCAGGAAATATTCAAAGCTTTGTATTTGGGGGTTTAGGTTTTGTTTAGGTTTCGATTCTCATCGATTTGTATGCTTTCTTCCTCATGCACCTTTTTATATGCTCTGAATTCGATTTGCGTTCAGCAAAAAATTGGGGGTTTCGGTTTATGGGTGATTCTTATTGCTTATTTGCTTTCTTCCTCATGTACAT